TCCCTTAATCATCCTTCTTTTCCCATAAGAAATGGCTCAAGTTTACAGCTGAAAAATTTCTCAGCCTGCTTCCTTCCCATAGGAGCTTGAGAGTCCAAAGTCCACTTTTCATTATCTTAGTCTTTGTCTCTTTCAGCCCAAGATGACACAATTCCTTTAAAATCTTTGTGAGTTTCTCATGTATAAAATCAGACCAAAGCCACAATAACACTCCATTAGACAAAACCTTCCCACTTTTCTTTCCGGGACGGCATTTCTCTACCTTGAGTCCCAGGTGAGACCCACATGAGAGAATGTCCTTAAGATCCGTGGAAGCCCAATTGTCTAGTTGACAGGTGTACACAGCACACCCTTAATATTATTAGGAGAATTTTCGTCTGGCTTAGAGGCTCTACCTTAAAGCTACCTTACTCTAAGGCTATGTTATGCTGGGAGGACTCTGGGTTTTATCTTTTCCCTAAGGCCATTTATTACTTTCAGAGTATCTTGCTATTTGAAGAGGCCAGGAATAAGCAGCTGTTTTATTTCAAACCCAGAAAATTCTGGCTCCTTTATATTTCCTCTAAATCCTGCTTGAAAATTAGATAGCTGCCCTGTAGTTCAACTATCTTCTCACATTCTTTATTATAAACAGCTGAAAGAAGCCACTTGGCATTTCCAGAATTCTGTTTTGAAATCTCCTTGGTCAGATCCATGAGTTCATTAGCATCCATTCTAACTTCCATGTCACTGCAGCAAATGTCCCCCTACTACGTGGCGTGGGTCCCCTTTCCTCCAGCCTTCCATAAACATGTTCTCGCTGTCCTTCCAGCATTCACTAATCATGTCTTTGGAAATCTTCAGGTCTCTGCCCCCCAGTCAGACCCAAAGGCACATTTTTTAGGTTTCTGTTACTGAAGCACCCCAGTTTTAGCTACCAAATTCTTCTTCAGTCAGGGTTTAATCAGAGATGCAAAGCCATTATGAGTATTATGAAATAACGGATGTTGCTGCCTAACCAGGTTCATTTGCCCACTGCCCAAGAGGAAGCCAATGCACTGAGACAGCAGGGTTTGCAGCAGAGAAAGATTTAATACTTCTGCACAGCACTAAGCGGAGAGATGGGAGGAATTCCTCAAACCCGCCTCCCCAAGAATTTGGGAGACAGAGTTTTTAAAGACAGTTTGGAGGCAATTGTATCTGCTAATTGGCTGAGTTTGGGGTGGAACCATAGGGTTGTAGAAATTGTCTTCTTTGCTGACCAGGTACTCGGGTGGGAGTCACAAAACCAGCTGAGTCAGGCTGCTGGTCTGGGTGGGTCAGCCATCCCACTGGAACTCGGGACCTGAAGCTCCATCAGAAAGTACCCCTAGGTTTCAAAAAGGTGATGTTACCTGTGGAGAAAGCTAAGAATCTTGATGACCACCAGCTGTGTGGCACCAGAGTGGCAATTATAGAGAAGAAAACGGGGGACAGTAGCTAATTATTATCATTATTTTCAGCTAGGCTCGTGCCTTATTTCTAGCTAGATTCTCAGCACAGTTCTCGCCTTGCACCCCATTAACAGTTTGTGAAGATGGTCTCAGGGGTATATTGTAGGAATAAGATCTTATAAATTGCAGACAAAGCTGGAAAAATACGAATGCAAAAGGGGGGCCTGGAGGATGAGGATAAAGTCCTCGAGCAGCCCTCATGAAGCCCACGAGTCCAGCTGCCGGAGCGGAGCTTTCCGGGCCCTCCCTCCCTGCTGGACATCCCCATGGGCCCACAAATCACCGAGGAGGTCCTTTCCCTAGGAGCGCACCCCTCTCACCCCCATCCACTCTCCCGCTGCACCTGCTCACGTCAAAACTTCCGAAAATCCTGTCCACACCTGACCTCGCATCTGTGCAGAAGGTGAGAAAGCCCAATCCACAGAAACAGAGAGCAGCAGGGCGGGGGCGGGGCCAGGGCCGGGAACTCAGGAGACACTGGTCAAAGGGTGCCAAGCTTCAGCTTTGCAGGATGAAGGAGTTCTGGGGGCCTGGTGTATGGCACGGTGACTGTGGTTGACACTGCTCTGTGTGACATTCGCTGAGAGAGCCGATCTGAAACACACAGTCAGACGTGAGCTGAGATGGTAACCAGCTGGACTGTAGTAATCATCAATACATGCAGATAGCAAAACATCATGTTGCACACCTTAAACATTTAATGTATACAATTTTATTTAAAATTTTTAATTTTAATTTTAATTTTTTAAAAAAAATGCTTGTGCACTTGGGGTGGGGGGGCAAGGGCAACATACGTAACCTAAACATCTGTACCCCTATAATATGCTGAAATAAAAAAAAGAAGAAAAAAAAATGCTTGTGCAAGCTTGCTGTCTCCACTCCTCACTTTCCATCCTCTCCTCAAGCAGCTCTGCCCTGCTCCCGCCTCTACGGCCGTCTCCCTCCGATCCCTACAGCCCGCTCTCCGTGGCACACCCGGAGGGGCCCTTGCAAAACCTGAATCAGGTCCTGTCATCCTGTGGCTAAAGTCCCTGTGGCTTCTCCTTGTCCTTAGAATAAAACCTGACGTGCCTGTCACAGCCTTTGCCAAGCTACTGAGCTCTCGGGTCCTTGTCTGCAGAGGGGGCCATGGATCCCCCCACGCTCGGGCTGTGAAGATCGCACGTTGACACGTGTACACAATGACAGGGGCTGGCATGCAGGAAGTGCCGTGCGAGTTACCACCATTGCTTCGGCTGCGTATTTCAGCAACGATGTTTGTGAGTTACCTCCGCAGAATGCAGGGTCCGCACACCTGGAAGACAGATCCTGCCTGTCCCTTCCTCCCTTCCCTCTGCATTCCCTGATTCCACCGCCCCCCTGCTCTGTCTCCTGAGCCTCCCCCGCTCTCCCTCTCCCTACTTCTTTAGCTTCTCCCTAAGGGAGACGGAGCTCCGAGCGGGCGCTGCAGCGGTGAAGAGCTGCTGAGCTGTGCAAGACCAAGAAGCAAGGATGCGTCCCGCGCTCTGCCTGCTCCCTGAGTTCCCTTCTCCGCCCTGTGTCTCAGCGTGAGAGGGAAGGGCCGACGGCGGCGGGGTGGGGATGCAGTCACACCATCCATCACTGGGGTTCAGCTGCCAGCATCTCAGCTTACACGTTTGCTTTTAAATGTTCCCAAGCTGAATGGATTTCCCTGCAGCGAAGGTATCTCTTTAAAAGTGACCACGACTTGAAGGACATTTTGGACCAGGTTATAATAAGAGCCACAGGTATTGGTACACGATTCTACCGTTTTCTGAGCACTTTCACAAACCTGGTCTAACTAATCCTCATAACAACCCAACTTACAGGAGGAATGGAGACCCTGAAACCTGGCAGGTCAGAACTCTAACCCGTGTCTTCTGGCTCCAAATCCTATGTCGTTTCTACTCTGCTGCTTCCAAGAGATTCTTGCCCTCTTCTCTTGCAACATTGGAGGGAAACGAGCCAACAGAATAGGAAGAACTAGAACAGCAAAGGCTACTGTCTTTGCAGGGCTCAGCCAAGCCCTTAGCAACCTCCTAAACGCAGCTGCCAGGTCCCGCACGGACGACCCGCCCAGGCCTGCCTCCCCCGAGAGCGAGCCACCTCCGAGCGTTCCCACCATCGCAGTCCTGCCTGAAGTCCCACACACGGGGCCTGCCACCAGTGTTTCCAACTAGCTAATCAGATGCACAGATCTCTGGCAAAGGTCCTGAGGGTACTGCAAGCACGAGGGCCGAGGATGCATTGTCTCTGCCTTGCAGGGAATCCAAGGCGTCCTGGAGGCCATGCTCTTCTGTGCTGCCTCAGCCGTTTAGCTCTGGTGAGGGTGAAGAGGCCTTAGAAATGCCCAGTCTGAGCCGCAGGGCATGTCGCTGGGGCACACAACTACTCGGAAACAACCCCCATCCCGGGATGACCCTGGGTCCCTGAGCTCCAGGAACAAGCTTTGCCTCGGGGAGAGGACAGGGAGAGCCACGGTGGAAACTGCGTTTACCTGCCTGGCAGATTAAATCCAGACCTCGTTCCTCAATCCTTTCCAGGCCACCCACCCACACGGAAACGCTTTTTCACTTGGGGCTAAAGCTGATGTTTTCAGAAATTTTAGCTACTGCGTTGGCCTCAGCCCCAAGACCCAGGTCCATCCAAAACTTGGCCCAATTCTACATTTAGACTTTCATGTTGGTGTGCATGATACCAGCAGTAGCCCTTCCCTGCAGGCCTTGGCAAACAGGAAACAAACATCATTGCACGCCAGAACTAGAGAATTATGCTTGGAGTGATGGACCTACCTCTGGCAGTTCCCACGAAGTTTTTGGACAGAGAAGAATTGGCAGAACTTGGGTGTCTTCTTGTCTGGGCCTGTGGTCCATTACGTGCACTCAAACGCACAGTTCCCTTGGTCTCATTGTTTAGTCTTGTGAAACACGGATAATGGGGTTATTCCTTTCTTCGTTTTTCTTTAAGGAAAGATTTTCTTTTTTTTTTTTTTTTATGTATGTAGCATGCTTCAGAAAACAAGGTTATTAAAATAGCAAAACAAACTCAAACAGCAGAGAACAGCTATAGTAGAAGTTGCATGGGATACGCAAAAAAGAGCACATTAATAACCAAGCAGTATTTATTAGCCAACATATCCTCCCAAAACCCTTTCATTGTTTTTATTTTTAAATTTCAGAGTATTATGGGGTACAAACATTTTGGTTACATATATTCCCTTTGCACCACCCAAGCCAGAGGTACCAGCGTGCCCATCCCCCCAACAGTGTGCTCCTTTCTTCTTAATGAGATCAATGAGCCAAATGTTTGCAAGATGTCTTGAGAAGTTTGCTGGAAATTTTCAAACAAATTCCTTCCAAACCATTTCCTCAAAAACTCAGTTTATTTAATGCTTTAGTTCTAAAATTAAATGCAACTCCAAAATGACATTTAAAAAGAGCAAGATTCTAATTCCATAATCTGCTACAAACATTGTCGTAAACACTGGAGGCAACCTTGGCTAGCTGAACCCATGAAAATGAGGTCTTAATCTGACCGTGTCTTTCCATTTCTCTGGCTTCACGTTACCAGAAATGTGCAGCTCATTTCATGTGACATTTATTCAAGGTTATGATAATAACCTGTCTCCCCAGTGATGCGTTATGTTCCCGCCCTTCGGCCCAAGGTCCCTCGGCTTTTCTCTCAAAGTGCATTTGTTCTCAGTCGTTTGGGCCAGAAAGTTCCTGCTTCAGAGCTGAAGGTAAGTACATTTTCTACTCATTTCTCAGCTTCTTGAGTGCTTTTGGGTTATGACTAGAGCAGCCAGCAACAAAGCCGAGAAAGGTGACATTCAGAATTCCTCCCAATGGCTCATCTTTCTAATTATGGTCTTCCTTCCTTCCTGAGGGAGGATATTATTTTTCTAAATAAACTATAACAGTAAAATGTATTGCTTTTATGTCTAGCCAAAGCAGTCTCTATGAACAAATCTATTAGCCTATTAATCTTTAAATTATCATCAAGCTCTATTCAAAGACGACAGCTAGTTTTTTCCGGATGGAATTAGAGGTGCTCCTTTCACCCCGTCTGGAGAGCTCCCTTTCCCCTGCTAACTTCTGTTTGTAAGAGCTGGGCTTTTGCTGCCTCGGGACCGGCAGTGCCGGCACGTGGCGAGCGCCCGCGCCTCCGGCGTTACGTGTAGGCAACTCCGGCACCGACACACGAGCACACCGCGGCGGCGCCCGGGAGCTCGGCACCCTCTGCCGTCTTACGCAGCAACGTGGCGTGCAGGATAAACAAGAATTAAAAACATGCTCGTTGTCACACACTCCTGCAAAGCGGTTATCACTTGGGAAGCACACAGTCACGAAAGGGTCGCGCCTCTGCTTCCCTGGCTCTGTCAGGAGCCGTGTGACACCCAGAAGGGAGGCCCCAGGCTTTCGATGAGGACGGGTCTTCTTTATGTTTTATTTTCCTAAGCTGCCTTGGGAGGGGGAACTGTCCCCACTCTCCTCTCCCACACACACATACACAGGTACTCGCACATATGTACATACTAACACACACACATACTCATACATACACATACTCACACACATACACACATACATACTAACACACATGCTCATACACACATACACATACACACTAACACACACACATACATACTAACACACAGGCTCATACATGCACACATACTCATACACATACATACTAACAGGCTCATACATGCACACATACACACATACTCATACACACACATACACATACATACTAACACAGGCTCATACATGCACACATACACACACATACACATACATACTAACACACATGCTCATACATACACACATACACATACACACTAACATACACACACACTCACACATACACACATCCTGACACACGCACACACAGCCCAAAAGGGATGGAAATGGGATGGGGGCGCGGTGCCAAGAGCGAGGCCGAGCAGAGTGGAGGGAGGAGCGCCCGCAGGCCCGCAGGAGTGCGGGGCGGTCACGTGTCCTCGCACCTGCTCGCATTGCTCAAAGCGTGCGCGGGGCCCACATGCAGGCCTTGCTGCCGGCGCGGAGCATCCGGGAGCCCGGGCCGGGAAACGCCGCTCTGCGACGGGCTCCTGGGCGGGACACAGACCCACGCAGAGCTGGGGTCAGGAGAGGGAGCCCCAATCCTGCCAGGGGACCCAGCCCGGGCTGGCAGGCAGGGAGGGCATGGACTGGGGGGAGAGGGACGGCCGGAGCAGTGTTACCGACTCGGGGACCCGCGTCTCCCCGACAGGGCGGAGCTCTGCTCAAGGCCGCAGGGGAAAAAGCCGTCCTGTCATCAGCCTCCTGCGAGTTTCCCCGAACACTTACCGTCCGAGGCACTTGGAACGCACCTTCCTTGTCAGTGCAGCGTTCCTGCCACTCACTGTGCACACGCGACCGCCGGCCAGGCTCACACACGCGCTCAGGGCCGCCTCGTCCCCAGGAGCTCAGAGCCACCCGTCTTCCCGTGACCAAGAAATGTACATACTAACACATATGTACACACAGAAACAGCGCGGCGCTGCGGGAGCAGACGGGAGGCGACCTCGTGCTCCTTTGGGATGGGGGGCAGTTCGGGAAGGCCTGCACGGGGAGGTGACGAAGGACGTGCACGGGCTCGGAGCGAGGGTGCGAGAGCAGACGGGCGGACGCGGTGCCTGGTGCAGACGGGGTGCCGCCTGGGGGGTCGGAGGGTGACAGCCCAGGAAGGCAGGAGGAGGGACGGGTGAGGGCGCCTGTGCTGCGAGGAGCGGAGCGGTTTCGGAGCGAGCGCTCACCTCGGCCCGACTGGGGGAGACAGCGCGCCAGCGAGAGCCCGCCCCGCCCGTCCCAGCGCCGCGACCACCGCGAGGGGGCGCGTCCGTGCAGCCGCGGCGGGACTGGCCCGTGACGCACCCAGGCGGGAAGCCGTCGGGGGCAGTGCGGCCCGGCAGAGCGCAGACGAGGGGAGACTCCAGGCGGTGGCAGGCGAGCGTCAGGGTGAGGCGCAGAGGGCAGGGAAGACCCCTCGGACCCGGGCTCCGCCTCCCCAGCGGTGAAAATGGGCCCACGCTCCCGTCCTTTGGACCTTCCTTCGCTCGCCCTAAAATGCGGTGACGTCGTCGTTTCTGCCCAGTTTGCAGTCTCGTTGTGAATATCGAATACGAAATTACGCAGTGAGCAGCAGGGCTCTGTAAAGGGTTGTCGAATCCGCAAACCTGCAAGGGACCTTTTCGTCACCTGCAGGCTGCGGCTCCCACGGGCAGGTGCTTCTGCCCGTGCCGGCGCCGGGAAAGGGAACGGGCTGCCCCAGAATAAGGCTCCCTCGAGGGCCCCTCACGGTCGATTCTGCAGGACCCGCGCGGGGTGCGCGCGGACTCAGATGAGCGCGGCCGCGGCTCCTGGGCACGGCGGGCACACAGCTGGCCTTGAGCTACGAACGTGTCTGCTCGCTCAGACAAGGGACATTGGCTTCAGCTGGGACAGTGGCTCGGCACTAGCAAGGGCCGCGGGGACAGTCCAGGGACAGTGAACAAACTAGAAATTCACCTGTCCTTGGATTTCTCCTGTGTCCGTCAACGGAATATTGATTGGAAATATTCACAACTCTTACGATAATGCTATTTCATGCTGTTTTACTTAGTCCCCAGGTCACCTCAGGGCGTGAGCCTCTCAGTGCCCGGCTCCCCGCACAGCTCTAGGCCCACACAGACCCGGCCTCCTAACCGACACCTGCCTCCTCCAAATGCTCGGCCTCCTGTCAGTGACGCAGAGAGCGAGGCCTTGGAGCAGGGCCGACTCAGGGGCTGGGTGACCTTGAGCAAGTTACTTAACTTCTCTGAGTCTCGCTTTTCTTATCCATGAAATGTGTGGGGGAGCAGGAAATAGGAATAATGCCCACCCCTTACATTTAATCTGGGCATTGAAGGAGAATACCTTGCATTTTGCCTCTCCTCTGGCCTTTAACACGGAGACAGTTGTAAGAGAAGCCATGGCAAAATCAAATTGCACTTAAAGCACAGAATTTTAAGTATGTGCTGATGTACTGGGGAGTTTGCTCTTTTAACTATTAGAATATTAATTAAAATGGCTAAACACACATTTTGGGCCCTGCCCAGTAGAGAATGAATGACCTAACGTGCTCACAGGGGGGGCCAATCCTTTTCCACGTCATCCACACCATGTAGCAGTCGTGACTTCAGTCAGCAAGCGGCAGACCCACCTGTCCTCTCACTCGGAAGTGCCTGCCTCGCCTCCTCAGCTGGATCTGGGTGGGCAGTACAGTGTTTCCTATATCTTTTTGATTCCCAATGATAAATAACCTAATATTGAATCCTAGGTGCTCAAAAATGCCAATTCTTTAATTGATTACTTGGGTTAAAGCCCCAAAAGATCATAAAGCTTCCCCCTCCGTCCCTACCGAAAAATTTCCACACATCCATACTGATATAAACAAATGATCGAATAAATAAATGGGGGAGGACAGACCAATCTCCCACACAGAAGGATTCCCCCCAAAATCATGCAGTTTCTCCACCGTCGAGCAGGCGGGGCATAACTCTCCACCCCACAGGCCGGGGCTGTGCGTACTGACCCCCTCGCGCAGAGCGCGCCGTGGGTACCGGGAAGAGGACTTTACAGTGGAGGGCCTTGACAAACACTGCCCCGGCCAGGTGACCGTGGTTAACATCAGAAGTGACAAGTCATGTTGACAGCACGTCCCTGGATGTGATGCAATGACAGTGACAATGCGTCAATATCAGCCCATCAGTTGTGATCAATGTTCCATGCTGATGTGAGGTGTTAATAATATGAAAAACCAGGTGTAGGGTGTATGGCAATTCTCTGTGCTATCTTTGCAACTTTTCCATAAATCTGAGACTGTTCTAAAATAAATGTCTATTTTAAAAAATAGTTCATAGCTCTACCAACCCAATGATAATTACCATTAAAATTTTATGTATATCTTTCAGGTATTTTTCTATGCCTTACATCAAACACACACACACACACACACACACGCACACACACACAGGCTTCTGTACCACTGAATCGTGATTTTAATTGTCATACAGTGTTCTATCCTACGGAAGTGCTGGAATTTATTTAGACAATCCTTAAGCAACGTTTATTTATGCTGTTTTCGGTTTTCACTACTATAAATAATAATAAGTAATACTTTGTACACATCATTGATTACTTGTTCAGCGCCGGAGTCTCAGATCAGTCAGGTTTGCAGGCCCTAAAGGCAGACAGTGTGTTCCTTGCTCTAGATCTTTAATGATAACACATTTTCTAATGAAACGGTCTGAAGTAATATTAGACTCTGATATTTAACAAAAATGGGTACCTGGATTTGGAATAATTTATATTTATTTAAATTTAAGTAAAACGGCTGCGATTATGATCCTTCCACAGCACCTTCCTTGTATTTATAACTATTTTTTCATCTTCTTTTCTTCAATTTTAATTTCTCTGAACTATCATTGTTCAGGTTAGGTTCTAATGTTAAAAGAAAACTATTTGCTTTTATTATTATATTTCTCCTTCCTTCCTCCAACTTTTACCCAAAACAGAGAATAATCACTTCTCACGCTTTCTAGC